CTCGTAGCTTGTACTTTACTAACCTCTAGGTTACTGAGTAGTTCCTGCTTTCCTTCCACATCAAATCCTCAGTTACCATTGCTAGTGTTTTCTCATGGCAATTTCACCACAGTGAGGTTCACCAGCACCCAGACTTGCAGTACTGAAGTCTGTGTGAGGTGTTGTCACTCCAGCTTGGTGAATAGCAAATTATGATGATGAACCAACTGCAGGAACCAGATACCAACACAAACCACTTATAAACTCAAACCCTTTCTGAGCCATTCAGCTGAAGCACCAGGTATGTAACATTTATCACCAATGCTGAAGGAGAGCAAAGACACAGGATTTCCCTCAAGAACCTTCTCTTGGGTCCTGTTATCCCTTGCCTGCTGAGCTCAAAGTCAAAAGGAACCAGCATTTATCAAACCTAAGCTGGGCTTTACTGACTATGGCCAGGCAGCAGCTATAACAGATCCAAAGAGATTTCAGACTGACTTGCTGCATATTCTCTTTAACAACCACCATTTCTTTTAAGATACTTTTTCTCTCATTCTTCTCAGGCACATTTTGCTGATAGGCAGAAAGTCAACTTAAGGCCTGTGTCTCCTGAAACCCTCGCTCTGGCCATCAGGGTGAACACTATTATGTAGAGTTCACTGTGATAAACACTTTAGTACTCCCACATCTCCATGACTGAGTCATTAGCCAAGTGTTTTGCAGCCATGATAAAAATCTAAGAATTAAAATATTAAAAACCAAAACAACCCCAAGATTAAAGGTGCATTATCTGATAGGCTGAAAAAATTCTGTTGCTTTCTGTTTTTAAAAGCAACATTCAGACAATGATTAAATAAGTGACAATAAACCCATCACATTCACAAAATACTAGTGTTAGCCTTGGGGATATGCTTAAGGATTGGGCTGTAACCAAGGCAACCCAATCTTCAGGAGAAAGTTTAAGTACACAGTTTTAAAGCCATCGCTCAAAGATAGAGTAAATCTGGCTGCAGGGCTACTTGTGACACATGGAAAGAGCCACAGCCACCCAGCACAAAGTACTTGTAATAGCTCACCCTCTTTGTCATTCAAGTGTTATGTTAGATCAGCCACTGGCCAGGTGCCCTTCTGCAGTTGGCGTAAGAGTGATACAGGAGCCCTTTCATGTATGTGTTCTGGATAATTTGACAGAAATTTGACTGTGCCCACATCCTACCCAAATCAAAACTGTATGATTGGGTGATACAGAATCAGTCTGGTATTAAGGGCTTATGTCACACCATGCAATGGCTTTAAGTCTGTGCTTAAGCAAACCCCAGAGACTTAAATATTTTGCTAAACTAGAGCCTGGGCCCTGTCTGGCCACACAAATCATGGGATCAGGCCCTACTTGCCAACAAATGACAGACAAAGCCAAAGCAGCATAAGCAGAAACTGTGGACTTGAAGAGAAATGTCTGTGTGATCTTCCAATTCTCTCTGAAAGGAACAGTTTGGACATTATCACAGCCACAGATAATGTGAATTCTTGTCATGGCTAAGAAGTCCACCTTAAGAAAAGCAAGGCCTCTTTGGCAAAAAGACTCCTTCTTTGGAACAGATAAAACATGATATATTATAAATATGTGATAAAAATTGTGATGAAGAAATATCCCAGTGGTTATTAATTGCAGTGCAGTTGTGATAAGTCCACCAGCATTTCCTGATTAAATCCTGAAGCATCAGAGGGGAGATTTCCATACACGTGGGTGATGAGAGCCTCAGTGATGTATATACAATATCTTTCAAATATACTTATAGCAATTTTAGAAGGCAAAACCACAGAAAATGCAGTGTATTGGGCACTCCTTCCAACAGGAAGACAGCTTTGGTGTTTTGGGGTGAAAACAAGACATGATAGTACTTTTGCACAGATGTGTCAGGTCTAGAAACTAGCCACAATACTCAAATATCAATATTGCTCAATCTTTGTGAATTGTATTTCATCCATGGAGTATTTAATCCTTGAAAAGTTTGGTTCTCACCTCCCTGCATGCCAGCTCAACTCACCACAGCACCCTAATAACAAAGGATTCAGATCTAGATCTCCTGGCTAGCCCTATGCTCAAACCTGCATATCAGCAAACCCTTCTGATCTCCAAAGATCAGTAGTTAGGGCCAATCTGTAACTAGCTTAATTCCCATAATTTCTTTGGGAAATTGAAAAGAAGCTTTCTCGTGTAGAGGGCAGAAGACAAGAACCCATATGAGTTGCCCCAGTCCAGCCTATGGCACTGCCATAAAAAGCCCAAAGGCTCTGGTCTTGAGTCCTCCTTAGTTTAGGCCACATTCTGCAGGAAGCAACAACAGCTTGGTTCCATCAGTTACCCCAGTGTTGCTCAGGAGAGTCTCATCAGCACTTGATTTAACACTAACAAGAGTAAGGAAGATAAGAGCTGTGTTTGCTGCCCAATGAATGGCTTATTCTGCACCCGAGTGCATCACATCCTCCCCTGTACCTGCAGAGATGCAAAATCCTTCACAGGGATATGACAGTGTTATCAGTCCCAGAACTGCCCCCCCCCCATGTTTCTGTAGGGTTAGTTCAAAATAGATTTGCTCAGTAGTTGCAAGGGTTTTTTTTGACTGGTGCTGGTGCAGACTGTGTATAAAGAAGCAACCTCAGAAGGATCTTACATGCCACAGTTCAGGAAGCAGCAGCCCAGGTGGAACCTGGCAGGAGCCAGGGTGCAAAAAAGTCTGTTTATGTCTGAAGCAGTGAAATTCTTGAAGGCCAGGTTAGAAATCCATTATAAAAAAGCAAACTGCTTCAGCACAGCCCCTATGGTATTGAAGAACTTCTTTTGCTCAATGATGCCACCCTTCTACAAAGAAGGATTCATTTTGAGCTGTGAATTTTGGGAAACTTCCCTGACACTGGTGGAGTTTGCCAATGTGTAAATCCTGTAAGGAACAGAGGTTTCAGACTGGTATTTCTGTATTTGAATTTACTGTATACAGCTGAAGCTACTGAATTTCACAGTGCTCTTCAATAAAGGTTAGGGCTAAACTGAAAGGAAATGCACCATTTGCAGGAGCTGCAGTGAGTATCACAATTTTCCCTCTTTGTTTCCTATCAGTCCAGCTCATCTAACTTTTCTTTTCAGTGTTAGTGGATATAATTATTCTCTATAATGGAAGCCTCATATAAAGATGAAAGCACCACACTGTTACTGTTTTTCAGTGACTGAATGAAAAAAATTCTTATAGCTTACTCTCGAAAAGTGCCAGTTTGTCACTTATATGGTCAATCAGCCTGCAACTGTTTCAGTTCTGCTTCTTAATTTAAGTGCAAAGAAAGGTATTTTCTTTGATTACATCTGCAAATAAGATATTAATGTCAATTCAGTGATATGAAAATTACTCCCTCACTATGTAATTTGCACCTTACTTATTATGGGTTTCATGAACAAGAATATTATAGCTGCTCAGAGTGCTGTGGATTTCTAATTTTTTGATTTGTTTTTAATTAACCAAACTAAAACCCCCACCATTGCACAAAAAAACTCAGATTATCTGTGCCCAGGTTTTATTTACCTTGACATATGTATTAATTCTGGACTGAAGATGAAAATGCTGCTGCTGGCCCAGCACTCTACTGCTATGAATTTCACCAGAGACAAGTTATAAGTGGCTGGGATGAAAACGGAAGAGGAAAAATAAATTCTTACTTTCTGGAATGGCATAGAGAAGGGTTTAATACCTTCTTTAGTTTTCTTAACGTAAAAACTGAACAACAGCATGAATTTAGGAGGATATTTTTTCCTGCTGTTGAAATGAAATCCTTGATTTTTTTTTCCAATGAGAACTCCAGATCATGCGTGCTAACATCAGAGAAAGGTATATTCCAGGGCCTGGTTCAATCCCTGTTACAGTTGAAGGAAAATCCTCCCATTGCAGTAACAGGAGATGGAACAAGACTTTATTGCTAGAGACTCTATCCAGCCAGAGACCAGCACTGCCAGTGGTCCCACTAGAATGGGGTATATGGGAGTGGCATAAGATTTTTGAGCATCCCTTTGCACTTCAGTTCTATGTAGTCATTTTTAGCTTTTTTTAACCACTGGGATTTCAGAAATGTGTTTCCAGCCCCACATCCTTTAAAGATCTTCTCAATGGACATGACTAGCTTATGCCTCCGGTAAATCAAAAGCACATTCTGTGTTTGTGTGTGTTTCGTGTGTGTGTAGTGTTTAGTGTGTGCAAGCTCACATCTTTCTGTGATTGCTCATACATTGTGAATTGGAAGCATCACTACTGAATAGATTTATGCAATAGTAAAGTAAAAGAAAAAAACCCCTATTGAACTGGAAGGGAATGGAGACAATTAAGGGCCTAAGAAAAAATATATAGGTTACAAATCTGTGTCCCAAGGATACAAGGTCACACCTACACTCAGGTACAGTACAGTTAAAGTTGCAGTCTGTCTTAATGCTGGGTCTGCTCTCACACCTTCTAGGGTGGTGGAGCTACTTCTGCTGGTGACACATATCCTATAAAAGTCAAAGGGAAGCTCCCCATGACATCAACGAGCGCTGGTCAGGTTCTCAAAAGAACTTGGGAGAAAAGAACTAGCTCAGCCATTTTTCACCTTCTACCTTCATGTACTTCTTAAGAGACAGGAATCAAACACAGAAACATAGTTAGGACCATGTTCAGACCTCCTTCTACAGGCAGATAACTTAGGTGCTGTGACCACTTAACTTCATCAGCTGCAGATACAGCAGTGGCTCTGATTCACTTGCTGAACAGTCATGTCTAAATTAGATGCCTGTGACATTTGGCAGTCTGAACATGGCCTCTTGAATTGCCCTCTTGTTCCAAGGCCTTCCAGTTTTCAGTTTTACCTTCCTTTTTTTTAAAATTTTTCTTTTTTTTTTTTCTTTTCTTTTAAAGAGATTCAGACCCTAGGCTGGAAAGAAATCATGCAAAGCTTGTGCAATATCCCCCAATGGGCATCCTGGGGAGGGTCACAGTTGATACTCAGAGATCAGTGCTGGCCTTGGCAGTCAGAGCCTGGATCCGAGCAGAATTGCAGGTCTTGCAAAGGATGTGCCCATCCAGAGGGTAACAGCCCTGGTTATCCCCTTCAGACAGGAGGCCACCACAGTCCTAGGAAATAAGCAAACAGAAAGAGCAAAATAAATAAGAAAGAGCAAGATTAAGCAAAGAATCTATTAGTCAAAGAAACTCTCCCCTCACTCTCCACCTTGTAACAGAATCCAGCCTGAGCCAGCGTAAAGCATGAAGCTGAGGGACGTGATGTCTTTCACGATTAAGCCATTTTCTGATAAGAGACAATGCTGCAGAGAAGATGGGTTCCCGAGCTCTCTGCTGAATTTAATCCAATTGAAAATAAAAGGAGATTATTCCCTTCACATTTCCGAGGAAGCAAAGGTCTTCAGCATTGGAGAAACATCAAACTGAAGCACATATATATTAATTCAAAAAAGGGTAAAAAAGAAGCATCACTGGGAAGAAAGTTTGGTACCAATATCTGACTACAGGTAATCTCCTCTTGAAGAGTTAATGCCATGAAGTTACAAACTCCATGCCAGGGGTGACAGCTAAGCAAACTCTCTGCCTGTCTCCCCTTACCAGAACTGTCACCTGTGTTTGTATTGCAATTGGCCAAAAAGGTTGTGGGTGAAAGGAAGATGTCAGAGACAAGCACATGGAAACCCCACTAAAAGGCCCAAAATCCTGCTCCAGAGACCTTAGCCTCTATGTATATAAGGCTAAATATAGCTGCTAGGTAAGTGGGAACTAACCCTCACTGTGTGATCAAGCAATCACTTGGCCCAAGACTGCAGATGGAACTGTGGTGAGGGATTATAGCTCGTTTAGAGGCCATTGTCTCTTCATCAGAAATCAGTGTTTGTAAATATAGCTGGCAGCAAGTGGTGGAAAGAGGAATATCACTGTTTTTCCTTTTGAGATAGTTGAGGTACATGGAGATCAAGGCCAAGTGAGTGTCTGTGTCCTGTGTTCTCTACTGTACCTACTTCTGGCATGCATGTGTGTGATAGCCTAGGTATCTCAGCAGCCAGCGTGGGGATGTGCTGTATGGCAAACTAGGCTCTACAAAATTGAGTGTAGGAATGCCCCAGCATCTTACAAAACAATGGGCCTAAGTAATGGGCTGATTACGTACCCTGAAAGCCAAGGTTAAATTGAAAAGAGAACCTGATGCCTCAGGTTTCAGTCTAGAACTTTAAGCCTTAGTCCATCCTTCTCTCTGGTTAAAGTTATTAAAACCCGCAATAGTGATAAGAAATATATTTGGTCTAATTTTCTTAACCTGCCATCTGGCTGATGTATTATCCAACAAGTAACACTTGCACTGAAGAATTCTTGAAGATTCCCTAACACAGATGTTCCCACATGTTAATTGCTTTAAGGTGATTTTTATTCTCTGTCTTCAGATTCTTACCATCAAAATTACATGAAGTGCATAATGAAACTGAACAAGAAAAGCAGCACAAAAAGCACTGCACAAAAGAATGATCATGTTTATGTGTCCATTAAAATTCTTCAACCCAGAGCCATATGTTGCTTCTTGTACAATCTTGCTCAAATTCTAACATGCATTAGCTTTCATTTTAAGAACATAAACATGACTACATTTGTGTCCAACCTATAATTTATGAAGTTCTCAAATATTAAGCTCTAATTACCTGAGTCACATTCTCTTGCTCTCCTAATGAACCTGTTATAAACAAGGGACCTGACTTTCTTCTCATTTGTGCTGATATAAATGAGGAAAAATTCCTTGCATGCTGAAGTCAACGAAGTAATTTGATTGTAGAGCCAGAGTTACAACAGGGTATGCCTGTCGTGTGCATAACATGAGGCCATGATGAAATTAAGCCAACCATGGCTTTCTGTCCTTCACGTGACTAGAATACCAACCTCACATCGGTAGCACTGGACATGGAAGTCACGATCCAAGGCAACAATGCGTACAGTCTCTTCTTGTCCTGGGGCTGGCATGATGGGTTCCTTACACACAGAACATCTTGGGGCAAATTTCCTAAAGAAAGAAGAGACAGTCCCAGTCATCCTCAAATTCAGAGTGAAAGGTTCTGTTAACTGGACTAGCAAGCCAGAAACGTGTGCATTTGTGCAAACACACACACGAGTATGTACACATATGTCACAGTCTGGAGCTTTGCACAGCTGCTTCCTTGGAAAGAGGACAGGAAGGAGCACTTCAGGCATACAATCCCATTCCAAGCTTGTAGGATATTTAGAAGCACACTATTAGGAGAGGACTTAGAGAACATCTGACAAACAGCAAAGCATATTGTGCTTGTCCTAATTAACAACTAAAGTGCCTGTTGAACGAGCCACGTTTGTGGCACCTATGCACAGTCATAACCCTCAGCCTCACTCTAAGGAAGTCCAAGCAAATCCCAAGGTTAGAAAGATGACCAGGATCTTCAAGAGCATTTCTTGAATAGAAATATCAAAATATTAAAATTTTGAAATTGCAACCAATAGGTTAGAAGTCTTAATAGAGATTGTAAAGACAATTGCCTTGCACTACACTAATTTGTTGAGGTTTACCACATCCACTTTAAACTTCTTACCCACTTATGCACATAGGAGCACATTCCTGGCTCTGCTTACTCTCAAATGATGAGCAACAGGGCAATTCTGACTTGCTGAGTTTTCTACCTAAAACCCACTCTCAGTTATCCATTAGTGGGTTGCCCAGGTTTAAAAGGGAACAGGTCTGGGTGCAGACACCAATGCTCTTTCTTCCAGTCAGCCTGAGTTAGAATTGTATAGTGACAATAACTCACTGCGTGAAGGGACTGACTTGAATCAGGGTCAGCTCAGGGATCAAGAGAAGCACAGGCCTTTCATTTTCCCCTTATGTTGCCCACAGTATGCCCTTCTGGCTAATTCACCTGTGTTCTCTATTACCTCTGGTTTTGCTCCCCCAAGTTCCCATGAAAAGTGGCCATCTCTGCACCTAGGCACATGGGGAGGATGCTTGGGAACATTTAGCCTGTGGTGAATCATTATGTGCTGTTTTTGCTTCAAAACCTATTGGTACTAATTCCCTAGCTGCAAATTCTGCTCACAAAGAAAGGAAACTTACACCTATAGAATCTGCTGCCACATAATGAGAGCTGGGGTCAGGGGCTATGGAATGACAGAGGGCAAAGCTTATGGCAAACATCAGAACACGAGGAGATCAAAGGCCCTTCTCTTCTGAAATGCCTAGTAAAGATTGACTCTGCCACCCAGCCTGCCACATGAACCACCTCAGAATTAACTAGCTTAGAAAAAGAAAAAAAAATCTATCTGTACTAGGAATAAAGAAAAATATTAATTTCACTGGCAGCAGATGAAAGATGTCTGTGTTGCTGCGATCTAACGAAGAAATGAATTAAACAGTGGCTATAGCAAGAGCTCTGAAAAATAACTTAAATGGATCATGATATGACCAGAGCTGTAATCGCAATTAATTATGTGCTGCTGCTTCATGCAGGAGCTTCCTTGTGCCATTTAGCTCAAATGTGGTACTTATAAAATACTTGAACATTTCTTTGTCCAGGCTACTGTGGGAAATTCATTATGAGCCAAATATGAACTCCCAGGACCCAGAGATGCTACTGCAGGGCCTGAGCTCAGGGGGTAGCTGAGTGACAGTATGAGCATCAGCTACAGTTTATTTTATCAAGAGGATGTAGATGTAGAACACTCAACTTCCAGACAGGGATGACATGTCATCCTAATCAATGAAAACTGGGCTGGCTGAAGTGCCATGAAATGTGTGGCTGGCCAAAGACATTCTGAGTGTCACACTGGGTCTTGTGCTATTCCCATCATCTTCCCCTCAATGATTTTTTAGTCCTTCCCTTGTATTGACAGCCTCCAACTTCTCAGAGCCTTGAGGTCCACATGCAGTCACCACCAAAAGACTTACAATATGGGACATCAGCTCTTGCTCCCAACCTTTCTCCTGCAAGCATGTGAGTCCCTGGCCTGTGGAACTTGAGGAAGGAGCAGTCTCCAAATCATAAGTGGGTGTGAGGGAAACCCTTCAGAAGCCTGAATGGTCCATTAACCTTCTGGTTAGGCCTGTGCTCAGGACTGCATTCTACTTTACACACAACTGGTGACACAGAAAGGCAAGGCAACACAGCAGCTGCCAATTAACCCAGCCTAGCTGAGCTACAGGGAACATCCTTGTGTTGGATTCTAACATGCCAGTTGATCGTGGCTGCTTCCCTTTCTGTCAAGACAGCCTGCTTCTTTGAGCTTTCAGACCCACACACTGATGTCACAAGGCTCTAATTAAGTCTACCCCCTTAGAAATTAAGAGATAAATGGTTGAGATGTAAACTCACATTTGTCAGTATTGATTTCATCTTTTAATTGAGGGGTGTAATGTATCTGTCTTTCCCATACAGGGGAAACATTTGTGCTCTGATTATATCTACCAGTCTTCCCTAGATTAGTTGTGATGATGGGGGTGGTAACATGGCAGTGACAGAAATTACTTGCAACTATACCTTTCAACTTACTTTAAATAGCAGTTTCACTATAAATTATTACCAGGGCTGTATTTTTAGCAGCTTAAAAAAGCTAATTAGCAACTAGAAACAAAAGGAGATGTGAGCAGCCTGTGGCCACTGAGATCCCTCCAAGCTGGTAAGCAAACACCTGCAGAGTGCAGCAGGACAGGACCTCTCTTAATTGCTTGGTGGAAGAAGCAGAGAGAGGCTGATGTGAAAGTGCAGGTACAGGCAGTGAGGAGAAACATGCACATACTGAGTGCAGGGGAAGGCAGGGGGAATGCAGAACACTTAGAACAGAGAGGCACAGAGGTTAGCCATGAATTCAGCTGTAAGCAAAACAGAGATCAAGCAGCATTGGCCCCTAACCAATTAATCTTTTATGCCACAGTGAGCCTTCTTGGAGCAAAGCTCTGCCTACTATTTAAGAGCCTTGGGAGGAAGTGGCAGAGGGTTCAGATCTTCTTGGAGGCTCATACTGAAAAAGGAGGATTTTTAGGGACAAAAGAAAAAGACAATAAGCAAAGCACTGACAGCAGCTTAGGTCATACTTATGGAAATCCTCGATGCAGTGGATGTTCCCACCAGCATCCACGGTGAAGGGAATCCCATCCAGGCTGCGATGGCACATCACACAGGTGAAACAGTGGGGATGATAGGCCTTCCCAGTGGCTCGGAGGATCCTTTCCATGATGGGCTTTGCACAGACACTGCATTGCTCCAGTGTATTCTGCAAAGAAAACATACACAACAGATGTGAGCACCATCTCGCTGGGACATTTATAAAGGTCAGCTGGGTTGGAGGCCCCTGCTGGTCTACTTGGAAGACCTAGGTACTTTCCTTTCATTTCTTCTAGATAAATGCAGCACAGTCAACAGTTATCAAAGAGTATGATAAGTGCACAGGGCCTGGGTCAAGTCTTTAGTACAGTGTGAGAACACAAACCAGAGACTTCTCTCAGCAGCTCTGATAAATGATCAGAGATAGCCCATCAGGTGGGTGTATCTGAGACACTGCAGCCTCTGTAGCCAAGAGCACGTGAAGCAGTTTTACAGCCTGCACTCCTGGGCTTTTGCCTCTGGACTGGCCAGTCTGAGTGACCTTTTGCAGCAGAGTTGATTAGAGACAAGCTCCACAGCAGGCAGTGCAAAGGTGAAGTGCAAACTCCTGGGGCTACACAGAGACCTCCTAACTGCTCTGCCAATACAGCTCCCATAAAGGATCTTTATCTGCCTTGTAAGAAAATCTTGATCTTCCTTTCCCCTCCACAGAGACTACTGTTGAGTCTGGGGAGAGAACAAAGCAGTGGCTGCAGTGAAAGCATTGCATGGACAGGAGTTCAGGATGACTTAAATGGTTCATTTATCTCTGGCTCATGATGACTCTGAAATGCCAGCTCTGAGGCCATGATCCTTGCTGCACAGGTTTTACATACTGGCCTGCTCCTAAAGTACTGGAGCCAAAAAAATTCCCACCTTTCAAGTGGGGTCCATGAAATGATTCATCTCATTTCAACCCTCACTCACCCTTGCAGTTAATTATAGAAACACCAAGATAAATTTGTTTCTGATGGTTGTCTGTGAGCCACACCAGCCCTTCTGACACCAACTGGGCAACGTACCCTTCCAAACCAAGCACCTTAAAGATGCATGCCAAGAATGGAGGGTGCAAACAGTAACTCTGTGTCAATGATTTGCGTCATTTCACTGGACTTTAGGAAAGCAAACATCACCACTATTCTTCCTTGATGCACCTGAAGTTATCAAATAATGTTATCAATCAGTGTTTGCATCTTGGATGAGGTAGAAAAGTCTAGAATTACACTATTGATTATGGATGACACTACTGATTTAGATAGATAGGAATAGAGAGGGGGAAAAAAGGAAAAAATCTAATGGGATAAATATAAAAAGCTGCTGGAAGGCAGATCATGTTGACAAACACAGGAAGGGTAAAGTTCTTCTGCTTCCTCATGCAACAAAATTCCCAGGGAATTTTGTGCTTTGACTGACCGCATTGTTATTCCTTCCTTGAGCCAATATTCTCAGGGGCAAGATCCAGCCCTTACATGTGCAGCCAAAATGTATTGTCAGGAGATGAATCACCAAGAAGCTCAGGAAGGTTACTTCTACACTCACATATTTTTTATCAGACATTTTCTCTGGGCTGCACATCGCTGGTAAGGTACAAACATAGCAGTACACAGGTTCATACCAGAAGATCAAAAGGATTGTTTTGGGGAAGGTTGATATGCAAAGTCCTGAATTTCAAGCCGTATGAGAACTGCCTCATATGCTTGTAAAGAGAGCACAGACAGACTAGCATTGAATTCAGACTGAATTTCGCTTTATACCTTGTAATAATGGGCAGGAAAGAATGACTGCTGGCCTTTCTGTCTGGTTGCTGTCACCATCATCATCATTATAATGGCAGCTGCTATGCCAGAAAAAGCAAGGTCAGTAATTTTCTCCTTGGAAAAGTAACCTGGCAAATTTACCATTTTGCTTTGCATAAACAGATCACATCATCTCAGTCCACATCCATGCTGTTCTCTGTATTTTTCTGCCAAGGAAGGAGTGCAGCATACCTGCTTATACTGATGGAAGATTGTGTCATTCAAAAGGCATTTGCTATGACATCTTCTGAATATGTGCAGGTATGGAGCGTTTTCCTCACCAAGTCACTGCTTGCTTCATTTCCAACAGTTGCCAACAACAGAGGCCAATGTATGAGAACAGGGCAAGCAAAACACAACAATTCCTTAGGACATGATTCCAGTCTCCACCAATTTCTGGTTTAGGGACCTCCTGAAACAGAGCTTGGCTTCCTCATGCTTTGCCTTAAGTGGATGTTTCTCCTATAGACTTTCCTGGTTGATTTTTGAATTCTGATAAACGTTGATGACCCACAACATGACTGGGAGTTTCATGGCCTACCTCCACGTTGGGGGCTGATCTGCTCAGCAGTTCCCTTGGTCTGCTACCACAGCCTACATACCAGTGCTCCAGACAGCAGCACTGAGCACAACCAACCTAGGACTGTGAACAGAGCAGCAACCTGCAGTGACAATCCACCCTGCAAAGGGATTTAGTGCCAAACAGCATGGCCTGGAACTGCTCTCACTACGTATCTGATAGAATTCCTGCTCACACATTACAGAGACAGAGTTTAAGACCACAAGGCATCATTACAACCATCTTGTCTGACATCTCATGTTAACTGTCTTTGGTGGGAGCTTTGCAGTGACCAGGACAGCAGGCAATCACCCTTCTGGATTATGCCTTCAGAAAACACCTATCTTCTGTTTCCAAATCTCAGCTCAGTCACACTGTTTGACATTCTCATAGCTAAGTCAGACAAGCATTTAAAATTAACCAACTCCTGATTGAGCCTGAAAAATCAGACCTGAAAAATTTATTCTTTTCATCCTTCCAAGCCTGTACCAGTGAGGAAAAACAAAGTCATTAGTTTCAGACTCCAGCTCACTCCCTGTCTGGGAGTGTATTTGCTTAAGCCTGTCTCCTTGCTAGAACCCTGGCTCAGACCTTTCTCTTCAAGGTGTTACCAGATGATGCCAAAGGGAAAGCTTCCTTGATTCACACCCATTTGACATCAGGTTGCTGTAAGGCAGGATTTGGCCTGTGGAGCTAACAGGGTTTTCTTTGATTCTCTAATCAGGTTATCCCACATGCCTAAGTGCTGCCCCAGCAGCTAACAACCTGCACAAAGGTATTTCTGCACATTATGGGAACAGCATCCCTGCAGGATTATAAGTTTGGCTTCTTGATTTTGTTCTCTTTCACAGTTTAGCTAACTCTCCTAGCACCTCCTGGAGTTTCCAGACCTTCAAAAAGCCAAACAAGATGAAGAAAAATGCCTAACGGCCCTACTTTCATTCTTTTCTCTCAAGTTGTTGTTGCCAGCCCTCTCTGTAATCAACAGGTAGACCTGAGTGCATCTGATGAGCTACACAGAGGGCCAAGGCAAGGCACAGAGAAGATAGATAAGAAACAGCTGGGAAACATCAGACCTAGGGGCTGTGGTCAAGTTCATGTCATAAGAATATGAACCACAAATCCAATACATACTGAGGGGAAAGTTTACCATCCTTTTCCCACATTTTTGGCTAAGTAGCAGGGAGTGCCCTTCTTTTTTAGAGAACACACTTGTGTCTCCAAATCTGACTAATTTTCTTGGGTTTGAAAAGCATAATGAAGGAACCATCCATTTCTAAACGGAAGGTTGGCCCAATGTTAAAGGCCAACTCTGTTGAGGGGAGAACTACTTATCCATGGTAAAGAAAAAGAACTTCATGTGGAGAGAATAATGCACCCTAAAATATCAGCAAGATAAACAACCCCAACAAAGATACACTAAAGCACAAAGAAAGAACTGAAATGACCAGGACATCAAGCATCAGCTTGCAAGCAAAAACTAAGAGACTTAAATATGTACAGCAGAATCAGTGGCAAAGTGTGAACAAGCATCTAGCAGTGAGTGGTGGTGGTAGTTAAGTTTGAGGTATTTGACCTCCCAATAGCAACACCTGTCCCTTCAGAAACCACAGAAAGCCAAAGCGAGTTGCTCTGCAGATATTAGGTTTAAGCATAGGACATGAAGTGAAAACCCAGACTCCTGGGAAAGCCTTGTGGAGTGCAAGAGCCACTGAAGACTGGAAGTGTTTGAATCCCCTCCTGAAAACATCACAGCCCAGATGGCAAGACAACAAACAACTTTGGGGAGCAGAGGTGCAGTGACAGCCTATGGGCTGCAGCTCATGACGCTTCCCCAGTGCTGCAGATTATAACCCCTCATTACCAAATTTTGGGTGACAGCAGTAACTCACAATTTTGTGCTGCAGCACAAGGACCCTCCCACAATCACCTAGCAATGAGTGCAGAAGAAAAGCCATACAGATTAGTCATTGCTTCTTCTGTATTGGCAATTCATTCCGAGCTCTAATGAACATAAATAATCTCTCCTGCACTCCGAACAGCAGTCCAAGGAGAGCTCACGCACAGGGACATGAGCATGGTATTGCTTATTTTGCTGGGAGTGGGGAGGGAAGTTGCTGGAATAAATTACACTGGCAACTCATGCATGGGGATATGAACTCACTTTCTGTGAGCACTGCAGAAGAAACACATTTTTTGGAGTGACTGAGCAGAGGAGACTGTATTAAGCTGCATGAATCAAAAGTGACTGTTGTGCTAAAAACAGGCACATGGTCAAATACTATAGTTGAACTGTAACTTAGTAAAGTGTGGTAAGTGACTTGCTTTAAATCTTGTGACTCCATCCTTCATTTCCTCAGACTGCAAGGAGAGCAGACATTTTCCCTTTTGTGGGATGATTTTTGAGGCTTAAAAATGTTTCCATACTTAAGTGAAGACAGAACACTTTAATCTCAAGAAGTCTGGTGAATTTATAAACCCCAAATTAGATCAGGTCAATTGAAACACTGCACTTGAAAAAATTTACAATGGTTTCATTTGGGTTTAGGGTCTGCAAATATATAGTTGGATTATAAATTAAATCTAAAGCAGACATTGGTAGGGGTTAAGTGTCAAGATGTAATTTCAACACTTACAAACCCTTTTTTTGCATTGTTAGAAAAGGAAAATCCAAAACTTGATTTCCACCCCAACCTCCCCAACTGGTGTCTCCACAGATGGGTAAATCTTGGCAAACAGAACATTTAAGTCACTAATAGCCAGCATGAAATTCCT